AACTGACTTGACTTGACTTGACAGTACGGCTCCAGCGGACAACAGAGATGGAGGAACGCCTGGTGGAAGTGTGGCAACAACACAACCTATATAATGCTGATAGAGCTGCATACAAACATTTCCGTTTCTATTGAATGTATTACATCTGAAAATAAATGGCAGTTAAATATAATAGTTTGTGCTATTTTATAGTATACCAAATGAGGGGGTTCCCTGTACTTTGCTGCATTATTTGGGAGATATTTCAAACTATCAGTATCAGATATTACTCTGAATGATCATAATAGGTAGACTAGCCTAATTAAGTATCGGTGCATGTCTCTACATAAAAATGCACAATCATGAGTGATGGAGAACTGACTGACATGTTTGTCATAGCAACAGTTCATTCATTGAATCCTTGTGTTTATGTGTCAGCAAACCATCTGCGTAGGCTGGGAGGACGTGCATGAGAATGAGAGTTACAGAACTGGATCAGACACCAATTAATGAACTCAAACACTAAAATAATACAGGCTCAACCGTTAAGAAGGCAGCAAAGCTTAAGAAACTGAATACGGCACAATAATGACATAAGTTGAAAAAAGCTTGGTGTTTAGACACTAAATACCTGCCACAGCTGAATCTCATGACCTCTCCCACTCAACAAGACACAAAAGCGTCTCTGTGAGCCATTCCTAATCATAATTTGATTCCTTATTACAGCAGTATAAATCCCAGACTCACTCTGAAAGAATAAGGGAAACAAACAACACAAAGTCTCTTGAAGATAATCTCTCTTCAAACCTACCTTTTATTTGTTTAAATGCCTCAACTTGGAGATGGAAATTAAAAGGTTGAGTAGTTTTAAACTGCATTTTTTGTGAAAATAGGTCAATTTCAACGGCTTTTTAAAACATTTCAGCAACGTTACGGTTATTATCAACAACAATCCTAAAGTGTTTTAATTATGTATCACTTAATTTAAGGTCTACATATATTATATAAAAATGAATCACTACAGCATGTTAGATAGTGCTAGACTCATGACGTGTCAGACCCAACCGCTCGCGCCACAAAAATGACTTTAAACCATCGACCCCGTAAAAAAAAGTCATCGAATAAATCGCACACTGACCTTAATTTGTATCCGGAGAGAGGATATTTCACTTTCACACGCAGCCGCTCACCTGTAAAGTCACGCTGACTGAATAGGCTAGCTACTATAAACACTGATCACCGGTCGGGAAGGTTTGAATGGAAGCCGGGGAGGCAGCGGTTTGTAGCACGCGCTCATGGGTGTAAAGGGCGAGCTCTGATTGGACTTTCTTCGGTGGCGCGTGCCGGGGTCCGATGCGTGATGTCACCGGTACCCGTGGCTCGGGTCACTCGGTTTGTCCCGGTTGTCGCGGATGACGTATGACGAACAAGTTTGTAATTTGACTAGTAAGGAATTCACTCTTGTATTTTATTCCATTAATTCTAGTAGTGTAATTTCCTTATGTAGTCATCGGTTAACCTAACTGATAGCCTAAGCCTATGTGGTAGAATTCGTTTTTTACAGTCCAAAAACAACAACAAATGTTCTATTTCGAAAGGAGGTTGTCAACAAGTCTTGCTCTACTGGACTAAATCTGTTGGATTAAATCAGAAAGAACAAAACATAGCCTACCCTACTAGTACACCTCAGGACAAGATGACATAGGGACAAAGACAGTCTTGGATAGGGTCCAGATGATGAAATTCAATTACAAACATACAACCAAAAAAAGTACGCACATATTTTCTTTTTACTTTTTTGAAGCTACAAGCTTTAAAACTGTTATGCAGTACAAAGCAATTAAGTGTTGCGTTTTCAGTTTTTAAAGTGAGTTTTAAACATAAAAATATAAGTAAAAACAGTCATGAATACTTAAGCCAAGGACAGTAAAGATGCACTAAACAAGAAATAATAACAGAAATATACATTTTACACTCATAGGTGCCATTTAAGAACCTTAAAATAGGTTATAGTTTTTCTATTTTTAATCATTTTTGATGAAAAAGGAAAGCTTACTGAATAGCAAACTGTCAGTAGCAACATATGCAAATCAAAACTTACCTATTTTTACCAAGACAGTCGTCTGAACTTGACTTTTGTGATCACTAGATGGCATAACAACAGCTGATTTATTTGAAAGATGAGTGAATAATCTAATCTGTACATTTTACTGTCCTATTTGCATGATTTATACAAATGAACAGCAATAGGCCGATAGCAGCCTTTACAAATACGGAGATCCAATATTTTGACTTTTGATGTGTTATTACAAACCACTCAAGGACAGTACATGTTTAAAATAAATAAACTATATTCAATAAGGTCTGCTTGAGCTTTAACAGCCACATCATTATTTTTTCTTCTTCATCAGGACACAAACACATCATGCCATTTTCTTCCAAACAAATGTCCTCAGCGTTTAGTTTCATCTTGACTTTTTCTGTTACCTACATACACAACAAAATGAACAAAAACATACAAACATAAAATCCTTATATATTACTTTCTAGTGAATTGTTACAGTATTTGATACATATATTAATGTCACATCATTTCTGACACATTATTAAAGGAATTTAACAGGCAGAAAGAGAATGATCACAGATAGAAGTGCACAAAAACAAGGCAGGGAGCAAGACACAGACAACATACAAAACTCTGAGGACAAGACAGATTCATAACATGAAAAGTAATTTCAAACTATTTTCACATTTCTCTAAGCAGAAAAGAAATTGAGTGTAACAAACTGTTTGTCAATATCTTCCTCACTTCCAATTCTATTCTAAAACAGGGTGGATCATTAATATTCTGTGAGAAGGGTAGAAAAATACCTGCAAGTAATAAAAAAAAATAAGAAACGAAAGATGGGATAATACAGTAATGTAAACTTTGACACTAATAACAGCTCATGCGTACAAACATGCATTTTGCACATTAGAGGCACATGTACAGCTTCACATTTACAGTAATGAACACAGTCCAACCGCTCAGAGATGCAACATCATCACCAGACATGTGTTGGGAAAAGCCAAGATGGCATTTTCTCAATGAACATGCCCTAAACACGGTTAACAGACGAGACAGTCACAGCTACAGTCTATTTTTACTCTGTTATCATGAGTTGACCACAGAATTCCTTGTAAATTCATTCATAAATAAAAATAGCCTTTGGCCCAGTACACAAGAAACTGTTTTACAGAGACATATTACTTGCAATTCAAAAATAGATGGATAGATAGATAGATAGATAGATAGATAGATAGATAGATAGATAGATAGATAGATAGAGTGTGCAGCATATACAGATGTGTTTACTGCACTAATAAAACACTGCAAATGGAGTCTGAATTATCATACAACATTATGGTGATTTCTTACAACCCAAGTAAACCTACTGAAAATATCTAAACATCTTGGAAATAGTTATCAAAAACCATTACATCAAGAACTATTGAGCCTCCTATCAATTTGAGAACACTTGGAAATAGAAAAATCACCTACTGAAAATGTCGTATTCCAAAAAAGTTTTACAAAGCTTTCGACTTTAACAGAGTTGTAAAAAGAGTAAACATCTGACATTCAGGGCAATGGGTGATTTCTTCAGATAAACTCCAGGTTGATTCCACAAAAACACAAGATCACAGATGATAAAATCAAATTAGAAGAAAAAAACAACATTAAAGGAGTAGTTCACTGTTAAAAAAAAACTTTTGCTGATAATTTACTCACCCACATGTCATCCAAGATGTCCATGTCATTCTTTCTTCAGTCGAAAAGAAATTAAGGTTTTTGATGAAAACATTCCAGCATTTTTCTCCATATAATGGACTTCAATGGGAACCAAACGGTTCAAGGTCCAAAAGACACTTTCAGTACAAACTGCAAACTGTTCAAAGGGCTTTTTTTTTTCATCAAAATGAACAAATCTTTTTCCGAGTCATTTGGTTCATTCAACGAACGAAGCGAACAAATTGACTCGGAAAAAGATTCGTTCATTTTGATGAACGAGTTCGAACAGGAGAGTCACGCAGTACAGAGCAAGGTGAGCATTTGAGCTTATAAAACTTAAACTTTATTATTTATCTATTAAATGAGTGACCGTTTTGCTTGATAAGACCCTTATTCATCGTCTGGAATCGTTTAAAACCCTTTGAACAGTTTGCGGTTTGCACTGAAACTGTCATTTGGACCTTGAACCGTTTTGGACCCCATAGAAAATTGCTGGAATGTTTTCATCAAAAACCTTAATTTCTTTTCGACTGAAGAAAGAAAAACACGGACATCTTGGACGACATGGGGGTGAGTAAATTATCAGCACAAGTTTTTTTAAAAGTGAACTACTCCTTTAACTTTCAGAAAATCTCTATCACGCTCCTTTTATTAACAGATTTATTGCACATTCTCTTCATAGTGTTAAGAAGGAAAAGCCTACATGCACTAAAGGAAACCTGGAAGCAAGCAAAAGGGTCCGGAGGCACCAAGTATTACTGAAGGGTTCACTGTCACATATTGCACGCTTTGTCTCAATCAATTTGGTTTCTGTTGTACTCAGAGAAAACATGAACGCACTAACACGTAACACAACACAGATACTAGTATGAAATGTTATTAGCTAAGTCTCTTAAGGCAATAACAGATTTGGGATTCTGCTTATCTAAGATTGACCCCGTCCTTCAGGGTTTCAAATATGAAAATCTCTGCAACGTTTTCTTACATTTTCTAAATCGAACCCCCATTGAACAATTTTTCTACTGATGTGTTTTAACAGTCCGTTTAAGCCAGTTTAAGCTGATGTTGAGCGAGTATAAAACAAGATTTCATGCTTTATCATTCACACAACATCTAAGTCAGAGAACATATTTCTCTCTGCCGTAATGCAATCAAAGGCATGAACGTTGTTCAACGTGAGAAATAGGAAAATGTGAGGCAAAGCAAAGCTTGCCACGTGAAAACACAGATCAATGGTGCTTTATTTGTTTTGTTTTTTTTATTCTTGAAAATAAGAAGAAATCCTGATCTGTTCTTCAATAAATCAAATCTTCGTAATTAAGTACTGATCTCACACTAAAATATCATAAGAGATCTGGCAGCCATCATTGTAGTCGCAGAATCGTTCAAACATTGTAAACTTCAAATTCATGCATGTCTTCAGAGTCAACGCATGCCACTATAGATCCGCCAATATGAACTCAATCATGCATTTCGATTGACTAGCACAGATACACACGTCACACAGCTTTTTACAAACATCTACAGACCGGACAGATGGGCCGACGACATAAAAACGGTTAGAATCCCCTTAACGTACACGCACACACAATCCTGAGTGCTCTACGAGTAAACAACATTTTATTGTGAATCTGTCAGGGACCAGACGATTCAAGGACCAATCAGCTTTCAGCACCACGCATAATGAGATCATGAAGAACCAATCGATGCGCAGCTCTTTAAATTGTTAGAAGCCCCAGACAGGTTTACACAATGGCGAATCTTTGTTACGAGAACTTGGATGCATCGAATAAACGTGATTTGCACCTGTATTAAGAAGAAGATAAACTCTCAGTTACTTTGACTGGACTGAACTCCATTCGATGGAGACGTCTTTTATTCTTAGCGTACTCTGAACACTGCTGTGGTCTGATTCTAAAGAGAGGAAGTCAGTTTCACGCACATCCCAGTATAGGCTTGGAGATATGGAGATGACGGCGGGGTGTCTTCCGGTTGGGATTTTTACACTGACACTTCTTGACATAGGACGCGTAGGACATAGAGAGAGTTCCATTGTCTCTGGGCAGAATGAACAATTGAAGATTCAAATCATTATGATGTCATCGAGAGAGTTCCATTGTCTCTAGGCAGCAGAAAGCGCGGAATGAATGTAACAATTGAAGATTCAAATCCTTATGATGTCACAGAGGGCAGTGTTCCACTTCAGTCATGACACTGTGTGTGAGACGTTGAACAAGTGTTCATGTAAAACTAAATGAAAATATCTGGATCCACTAGCAGAATATTGAGCCTGTAACTTTCTAGATCCTTCTTCAATCATTCTTCCGTCCATGAGCTGACGCGGCCACTATTTTGCCAATTTTTGATTTTGGGCACAACACAAGTATAGTCTTTGATCGCTTAGTGTCTCATCATCACTAATAAACAGCTAAGTCTGATTTCCGGACAATATTTTTGTAATTTCGCATTCCTGTCACGTCACTATAAAATTAAATTAGCGTTGGCTCTGATGAATGAGCAGTCCGACATCAACACTCAAGCTGAAACATTAGCTGTGCAGTACCATTTCAATTTAATTTGTTAGGTGGTATTATCAGTTATTTATATTTTATTACTTATTAAAACAAGACGCCCTAGAGCCTGACATCATATCCTGCTGTGCATAGTCATTGCAGGCAGGGTCTAAAGTCATTTTGCATGCTTGAAAGTCTAATGTGACGCGCATTTTACATCTATCTTGAGTCATATTGTGCGATCTGTCAAGCAGCGATCTTAAAGAATGATGCACACAGCCCAAGCAAAACTGCTGCTCTATTACTGGGCATTTTTATTAGCATCTAAAGTGCCATCGCTATAGTTGGCGTTTCTGATGTATTGTGCCCTTGAACCGTAAAAAGCCTGTTATGTCACAATGTCTGCAGTGCTAAACAAAAGTCGTCAGTTCTGCCCATGAGCTCGAGAGACGAAAAGACTATTTGACATCATCGCTCCCTCTTTTGTTTTAGTGCTTTACACTCTTTTTTCTTCTTTCTTTCCATTTTGCTACATGCTTTGCATTCATAAACTCCTTCTCAAACATCGTCCATCTCTTGTTGTTTTTCTCTAAACTTCTTCCACCTCAAATTCTCTACCAGGGTTCTTGGATGCATCTAATTTGAACGATCCTTGTATTCAACGACTCACCAAATATACGTGTTTTGTAAGTGTGTGTGCAAATTTGTGTTGATGTGTGTAGCTTCTTGGCTCCGAGCCTCAGAACCTCTCTCTCTCTCTCTCTGCAAAGCCGTTCAGAAGCCCTCGATGTGGCAATAGGCCTCAAGGCTGGAGAAGAGGATATAGAGGAACCACAGGCCCAGAAAGAGGAGTGTAGTGAGTATGCGCGAGACACGAGGGCCGCCCAGCTCTCCTCCGATTGACGGCCGGCGCCGGAACAGTAGTACACCCATGCAGACGAAGGCAAAGATAGTGAAGAGTGTGACGGAGAAGGCCAAGGATCCGGGGTCCACGAGAAAACTCTTGCCCTTGATGGCCCAGTACACGGCCGCCACAGACCAGGCCACGCCGATGCCCAGGAACACGTTGACGGCATTGCTGCCGGTGACGTTTCCGATGGAGGCGTCTGCGTACTGATCTTGAGTAGCGGCGACTTTACTGGCGAATGTGTCTGAAAAAAGAAAGATAAAGGCATATAGGCATTAGTGGTCGACTGGCTAATATTTGTGTAGCTTTTCATTTCTTAAACAACCATGTAGGAAGACATATTATGGCCATATTCCAGGATAACAGTCAAGATTCAAGTCCAGATCTTAAACTCAAAGTGTTTGGGATGTGCTGGAGGAGATTTTACAGAGTGCTGGACTCTCACATTGACAAAACAAGATCTTGACCAAAAATATATGCACGTCTTGATGGAAATACATGTTGTGATGATATTTACTAGGGCTGTGAAACGATTAATCGCGAATAATCGCATCCAAAATAAAATTTTGGTTACATAATATATGTGTGTGTACTAGTGTGTATAATTATTTTGTATATATAAATACACACACATGCATGACATGCATGTGTGTGTATTTATATATGTATATATTTAAGAAATATTTGCATGTACTGTATATACTTTATATATATTTATACAAAATTAATATTATACATAAATATAAATATTTGATATATTAATAGCACATTTTTCTTAAATATATACATGCATGTGTGTGTATTTATATATACAAAATAATTATACACACTACACACACATATATTATGTAAACACAAACTTTTATTTTGGAAGCGATTAATCGCGATTAATCGTTTTACAGCCCTAATATTTACATGAAAAGGTGAAAATACTTTCAATGTGCGATCACTGTAATGATGATCCAATAATATAATATAATATAATTAGATCTACACAAATTAGACATTAATATTTCATATTATTATTATTAATAATAATGTTTTTTTTGTGTCATTTATTACTAAATTGTGATATAAAACTATACGCACTACCATTGAAAGTTCGATTATTAAAGAAATGAATATTTTTATTCAGCGGGGAGATAATTTGCATTAAACCGATAAAACATGGACAGTAAAGACATTTATAATATTACAAAAGATTACTACTTCAAACATATGCTGTTCTTTTAAACTTTCTGTTCATAAAAGAATCCTAAAAAAATAAATTGTATCACGGTTTCCACACAACAATTTTCAACACTGATAATAATCAGAAATGTTTCTTGAGCAGCAAATCATCATATTAGACTGATTTCTGGAGGATCATGTGACATTGAAGACTGGAGTAACAGTCTTTTCAAATAAAAATTGCAATAATACTGTAATAATAAGTGAAAAGTAAAAAATATATATATGTTTGTGCATTTTTTTTCACAATCAATTCATCTTGCATTTATGCTGTTATCTAATGCAGTGTCATTCAGCGATTTGAAAGTGTGGTTGAAGTGCCCGTGAATACTGGAATAAATGTCCAAAAGCACACCTGGGATAGAAGTGCCCAGAGCCACGAACACGACTGCGGTGACGGTGTCGCGAAGGCCGACAGTGCAGCCGAAGTGAGACGCCAGGTCTCCGATGACAGCAGTGAGGAGGCCAATTACAATGATGGACACCACGAAACAGGCCCATCCGTTCCAGTACTCCGTGGGCGGAACGAACGCGAACAGAACCTTCCAGAACACTGTCAGGAAGTGCATGACGTAATCGCAGCAGGACGGGAGACGCTCCTCTCGACCCTCATCTTCGTCATCGTCTCCATCACCTGAGGATGACACACACAATTAAAGATTTAAACCAGCACATTCTGGACAATTTTACTTGTCATTAACACAATTAACCACCAGATGGCAGTATCACACCACTTACTTACCACACAAACCTTATATCCTTCAATGCAAAAGTTTCATCAAAACTAAATAAATAACTTTAAATAAACATTACGGACCATTTTCTATGGTGCCTTTGTGATACATTTTAAGTTGTTATAGAAAATTGCACACTAAACACTCTTCTATTCCATGAAAGCGAAGTGCACAAATGCTTACAAAACAAGTCATTTTTGATCTGAGCTATTGTGTATTGCTGAAGCTCCTGAGACTGAGCTTTTAAGAGGAGCAGCTTGAGAATGAAAGAGCCTCATTATGTGTTTTATTAAGTCTGTGTATTGCTGAGGGAATGCAGTGTGACTCATACAATGTATTCCTATTTCACAAGAGACATCCAACACACTGTTGAAGGTGTGTGAGACAGACAGACAGACAGACCTGCACTGACGGTCACTGCATCCACAAACTGCTCTCGCCAGGAATGAGTGCCGATGACCAGCGCCAGGTTAGTCTTCTTGATCAGTTTATCAACGGTGCTCTGAAACACAGCAACAGATCACTGGCAACATTTAGACCACGGGATTAAGTACATTTAAGGTTGTTCTTCATTAATGTGGCCCATATCAGACACAATGAACTTGTGTTTAAACTCAGGTAAAAGTCATAAAAGTCAAGGTATGAAACTCATGCAAAGGACTTTTCTTTGATGTCACAGTTCAGGATAATCACTAGTGAAAAACTTGGGACTGTGCTTGTTCTAATGGTGTCACGGTATATTCGTGACAATATTTTTAACAACAAAAATTTCCTAATATCATTTCATATAATGCACAATTATGATATATGACAACAAGTCATTTTTAGATTGACATAAAAAAATCATTCTGATGTCACTGTTCACTCTGATGTCAATATTTATTTATTTAAATATCAGATTCAATGTGATTTTTGCTCACAAATACATATAATATATATGAAGAGTTCAGATGCAAAAGCCTCTAAGTGCCATTTGAAATTTTCTTCTAGAATGATCATTTTTATCAAGCTTGTATATTTAAGTTCAGTGATTTCACTTAAATGGCAATGATAATTACCTATTAATTGTTATTTAAGTCAAATTACTGATCTTAAATATACAAGTTTGATAAAAATCATCATTAAAGAAGAAAATTTCAAATGGCATTTAGAGGCTTTTGCATCTGAACTCTTCATATATATATATATATATATATATACATATAATAAATACATTTATCTTTTCAGAATTTAAAATATCAGATTCAGTGCGATTTTTGTGAACAAAAACAATAATACAAATAAATATATCTATATATAATAAAATATTAATATATGCATACATATTATTATTATTATTAATAATAATAATACAAATAAATAGATATATTACGATTACTATTACTATTATATATTTTCAGAATTTAAAATATATCAGATTCAGTGGGATTTTTGTGATGATACATTTTTTTATAAATATGTATATACAATAAAAATATAAATATATGCATACATATTTAATAATAAACCCACACACATATTTGTGTGTTTGTGTGTGTATAAGAAAGAAAGAAAGAAAGAAAGAAAGAAAGAAAGAAAGAAAGAAAGAAAGAAAGAAAGAACAGATCTGGACCACTCAAGTGCTGGCAATGAATTTCTTGACATTACTATCATGACAACCTAATGAACCTGGCAACTGTTCGTTTAGCACCACTGATATGATAAATAACACTGAAAAAAAAGATGAGTGTAAAATTCATATCATGAGAATTTAATCAACACATCAAATTTTGCTGTCATCAACAAGCATGAACAGAGCAGAAAAAAATCTTTTCACTCCAGGTAGTCATTAAGTGAAAGCTTCAAATAATTTATTTTTGTAAATAGTCATAAAGAGTTAAAATTTACTGCAAATATGAAAAAAAAAAATCTAACCATCATGTCCAGGAATACATTGGGGATCTACTGGGAATCACAAGCTATGGGCTGGTATCAATAAATGCATGTGCATTTTTCATAGCGTATACCGCGGCGCATAACCTATATATAGACTGTACTGAACACTGTACATGAAGAACGGATTAGCATGCATGATTTCACCATGTGAACTTATGTCAAGTCCTTTTTAGAGGTTGAAGAACAGATGGTGTAAGACTGAAAAATGCCATTGTGATTTCTTTTAAATAAATTAAAAATGCTTTAAAAAAAAAAACATTAAAATAATGTTTTCAGATAGGGTACCTTACAGTAAATTCATAGGAGTTCTCAATAAAATAAAATAAAATAAAATAAAATAAAATAAAATAAAATAAAATAAAATAAAATAAAATAAAATAAAATAAAATAAAATAAAATAAAATAAAATAAAATAAAATAAAATAAAATAAAATAAAATAAAATAAAATAAAATATGGACCTACAATTTCCAATGGTTTTAGATGGGATGACTCCCTAATAGAATAATAATAATAATAATAATAATAATAAAATAAATAAAAAAACAAAAAAACATTATGTAATTATGTTATTATGTAATAATAATATAACCAATGTTTTTAGATGTGATGCTTTACAGTAAATTCACAGGACTCCCCAATAAATTAAATAAATTAAAAAAAAAACCTAAAATAAAGAAAATATGGCCTGACATTTTTTTCCATGTTTTCAGATATAATACCTTAAATTCATAGGACTCCTCGATCACCACTTCCAGCCGGCTGTGCTCCCCCAGAACAGGTTTGCCCATCTCCGCTATCTTCCTGGCCTCCTCCTCCTCCGCGCTCAACTGTGCCTCCGGATCCTCTGAAAGAGACACAATAAAGAAAAAGAAACAGACAGAAGACAGAAAAGGATGATATACAACAGGCAGGAAATGGAGGGCATACCCTTCCCTGTCAATCAAAAACATAACAGCTCAACCAATCAATACGACACCACGTACAACGAACGACACACACACACACACACACACAAACGAAACAACGAGGTTTGAAATCAGGCTTTGAGAGATGTTCTGAATGCATGTTTATCCTCTGTGCCAGACTGTGGATTTTCAAACACTTGAGTCCACGTTAAAATCCATTTACAACCCATTTTACTTTCTTTCAGAGTGAAAAAGATTCAGAGTAAAAACTGGGATCGATTAGATTGTGAAAACTACCATGGAGATTTTTTTTCACTTTCTGTCTAATGTTTTGAACTCCTCACTTTCAGCGGCCCCTCTCACACCATAATCGTGTCCCTCATGGGTTCAGGGAAGCTTCTTGCTGAGTGTGTAACATGAGGGTTAGTGTGGACACATGTAAGAGTTTGATCAGAGGTTGATCTGAAACCTTACCTTGGTTCAGCAGCAGGGCTGCGTGGTGTAAGGAGGGACAAGAGAAATGGAGTTAGTGCTGGAGATGAGTTTACTCCATTAATATACACATACACACAAACACACACAAACACACACATCTCGGAACCGTGGTCCTGTTCCAAACCCTAGTGAGCTGCCTCTCCGAATACTAAAGGGGGGTCGCACACCGGACGTGAAGCGCAGCGCCGTGTCACGTCTAGGACAACTCCGGGTCTCGGCAAGTATTCTTGTAAACACAGACGGTTATGTCTTGAGTAAACATAAACAGTTAAGAAATAAATCGGATCATTAAATTGGATCCGTGCATTACGTCTTAAAGTGACAACAGCCTATAAATACCTGCTGCTATCTATCATTCATGTTAATCAAACAACAAAACACATCTTTATTTATTTTATACAGTTTTTATTCAATTTATACAATTCTATCCACAAGTTTCCGAGGGGCGCTCCTGTAAAAAATAAAGTGGGTGAAACTTCCGGTGAGGCGGCGGAAGTAGCATTCCAATGGTATTTTGTGTGTTAGTTAACGAAGAGGCTAGCTGTTTTTCGGAGAATTATTTTACTATTTAAAGACGCAAATCTTCATGAGAGATGCCGTTACGGAGCTCAGGGACAACATGTGCTGTTTGCGGTTGTATGTATAACCGGACTAAACTAATTCAGTGGCTAAACGTGATTGTTTTGAACATAAGCTGAAAACCAAATCAGAGTGATCCTGCCAGAGCCCGTCTCTGATCCTGCCAACGACTGTAGTTTCCATCACCTCTCAAAAGACGACGAATCTTCCTGTGTACATTTGTTTAAATTCTTAATATTCTCTAAACTCTCTCAGCATGTGATTGGCTGTTCGCTACTGATGTTACACCTAAACTCAGGATCAAAGCCTGTGTTGACAGAATACCAAATGTGCCAGTTAATGTATTCAAGTAGCACATTCATTTATAATTTTGAATAAACTCCAAAGCACAATGACTAAGTGTGTATTTTTTATTTTAATTGTTTGTCAGCTCGCACAACCGTCTGTCACCATGCCTTGATGAGTATTGATTATTAATAATGTTATTATAATACTCCCAATCAACGACTGCGGAGGGTAAAGGTACTGTAATTTCACCCTTTTTAATTTTCGTTGAGGTTGTGTTCCCACATCGTTAGCTAGTTTGGATCGCTATAACTTGAATGACTGTCAACTGTTGAATGAACGAGTGTCAAGCATGTCAAATCGCGCTTTGTTTACTTCCAACCGGAAGTCGCGCCCACTTTTGACGCAAGGCCTCATGGGGCGTAGGAAACTTGTGGATAGTGTCATTTTACATTTAGGCCTAATTATAACATTTCTGTGCCTGAATACAACAACTTTGTTATATTGTATTTTATCTATGCTAGTAATTGGTGCATTTTTTGCAGATCAAAAAAAAATGATCCCATCCGTGACTCAAAAACCATAATATGATCCGAACTGTGAGTTTTGTAATCCGCAGAACCACTACTGTCTTGATAGGCAGCTCATTAGGGCTGGAGCGAAGCCAACTGTATCGAAAAACACTGTCAAATGAATGCCCAAAACCACTCTAAAACCAACACAGCTACTTTCTTGTTCTCGTAGTGCAAAACACACCTGAGATGCCCCTCTTCAGCCAGCGAGGTTCCTCAAGAACGATGAAGAAATTCTCATGTTTCTCGTACTCTTCATCATCAATGATCCTCACCTGAAAGGTCTGACTGCAGACATGCACACACACACACACAGACAAATACACACAAGTAATCAGAAATTCAGGTGGTGGCTTTGAAGTCTCACATCAATTACTGCGACAAGTGACATAAAACTGAGACTAAAAAAGAAAATGGTAGAAAGCTGGAACTACATAACGACACACACACACAGGGACACACACACGCACCCTAATAAATACTTAATGCCTTTCCTCAGGGGTCATGAACAGCAGCGCTCCACCCTGACATGAAATCACATTAAAAGAACTGATGAATGATCAACACACACACAAACAGGTACTCACACACATGCACACACACACATAAACAACATACAAAACCATGCTCACACAAATCACACAAATCTTCAAAACGCTGCATGTCAATATTTAATCACATTCACACACACACATATTGATGCTCCAATTATAAACCTCATTGCACAAAGAAAATAAATCCACAATGCTCTTTGTAAGGACGCTGCATTGTTGAGTAGGGCTGGATTTACCTCCAGCACTGACATGCACACAGGAAAATGGTAATGTTTAGTGCTCATCCATAATGTAGGATACTGTCAGGTTCATCCTGCATAGACAGAAGAGACTCCAGACTGACAGAAACGTTGCATCCGCTAACTGATCTCTCTAGCTCGCTATAGCTAATTCCCCAGGGATTTGAACAAGTCCCGCCAACGTATATACTCTGTAATGTCTCAAATCAAGTGTCTTGTTCAGGGGAGGAGTTCATCATCAGACACACCATTTCCATCTGCTGGGTGACAAAACGGGAGAAAAATCATATTGTAGGAGGAACCAGAGCTATATCCAGAGACAAGAGGATCACTGAGACAGTTAATACGCCCTAGCAACTGTCTATCAACTCTCTAGAAACCAATCAGAACACCCTAGCAACTGCTTATAAACTTTCTACTCAGAATCCAATGGGAACTGCCTCTGGTAACCACTCAGAACACCATAGCAACTCTCTAATAACCACTAACAACACAATAACAACGGCCTAGCAACACATTAGTAACCATTCAGAATGCTTACTTTAAGAAACTACCCAGGATATCCTGGAAACTGCCTAACAACTCTCTAGTAACCAGTAAGACCACCATAGCAACCACCCAGAACATCCTAGAAAGTCTCTAGTAACCACCCAGAACACCCTAGCAACTAACTAGGAAAAAACTAGCAACCACTCTCAGAGCACCTAAGCAACCACTCAGAATATACTGGAAACTGCCTAGCAAGTGACTAATAATAACTACTAAAACACCTTAACAACTGTCTATAAACGTTGTAGTAGCCGCTAAAATCACCAGGTAACCACCCAGAACACCCTACCAACTCTCTAGTAACCACCCAGCACACCTTGCAACTATCTAGCAACACACTAGCAACCACTTAGAGCACCTAAGCAACCACTCAGAATATCCTGTAAACTGCCAAGCAACTCCCTAATATTAACCACAATAACAACTGTCAATGAACTTTCTTGTAGCCCAGGTAACCACCCAGAACTCTCTAATAACAACTCAGAACACCCTAGCATGCCCTAGCAACCACCCAGAACACTCTTACATCGTGGAAACGAGTTATGCACAGCCAGACACCGCTAAATCTGATTTGTTTTGTCTTTTTACAGGAGCACACTCACGTTGTCTGGTCGTTGGCGAATTCCAGCTCCCCGCGTGTGTCCTCGTAGTCGACCCCTCCCCCGTGGGCCGTTCCGGGCTCCGTGTGGTACGGAATGATCACGGTTCCGCGGGCACCAGAGTTCCGGACCACCGTCACCTCCATGGTGCCCACGCTCTCGCTCACTCGCACCAGGTGGTCTGTAAAAGTGAAGATCCCCGCGTGGTCGTCGTCCAGGATGGTGACCGTAGCCATCAGCGGTTCCACCAGCCGGGCCTTGGGACCCTGATCCGTGTCGTCACTCTCAAACATGCCCTCCGCATCACCGATACGCAGATTCAGCAAACGCACAAAGAAATGTTCGTCTTCCTCAAAGATGTCATCGTCGATGATTCCCACCTAGAAAGAGGCATACAGATGTCTATAAACTTTCAGTGAAGTGGTTTAACTTTACTTTACCGTGGACAAGTACTTTAGTGACTTAACATTCATCGCACATGGGTTTGTAGGGCTCGGATCGAAGCATCTGTCATTCTGAATCCTCTCTGTCTTTTTGGCAAAGAGACTGTCAATCATTGTCACTCACCAATGACAGACTCTACAGCCTTGTTGCCATGGATACACAGCCCTGTCCATCTCAGCAGAGTGGATGTTTGTCTCAAAGGAAGTGTACAACATGAAAGATTAAGAGGCTTTTAAAGTACGAAATAAAGCACTGTCCTTGAGACTCACCTATTCGTGAAAGATTTCCTGCTAATGGATGTAAGAATCAGTACTAGACTAAACCTTTTGATCTATGACTTATAGTACTGCAATGCTCACACAAATACCGTTTTCATGATCAATCCTTGGTAGTTTCACTTCCGATGTGATTGGCATCACATATTAATGGCGCTTTTCCACTACACAGTGCCAGCTCGACTCGACTCGATTCCTCTCGGCTCGCCTTTGTTTGGTTTTCCACTGTGTAAAAGTTGTACGTGTACTTGCTTTCGGGTACTTTTTTTAGTATCACCTCCGCTAAGGTTCTGAGTGAGCTAAGGCGAGCTAAACCGGTACTAAAATGTGACGTAAAACAATGCCGACTGTTGATTGGTCAGAGAGAATCGTCACCATTCACTGTGTCATCATTGCATGCGCCACATAGAGTATCCAGAATAACCCCGCCATTTTTAAATAGTTTGGCCAGAGATAGTTTCTAAACTTACGAGTTACGACTATTATTATGGCAACTCGGAAGAATGCGCTCGGAAGAGAGGATCCAGCTAGAGCTTGATAGGGCAACGAGGAACGAAAGGCGTCGCTATGGCGACCGGGTACTATTTGTGGCGGTACCGTATGCAATGGAAAACGTAGCGAGCCGAGGCAAGTCGAGCTGGTACTGGTAATGGAAAAGCGCCATAAGATACTTGAGACTATCACTAGTCGAGACCAGATTCACCTGCAAGTAGTTCAACTGACTGAAATTCTGTTCAGATAAAAGGAACTGAATATTCAGATACTTGAGACCATCCCAACTGATTAATAATCTACACCAGCTTGGGTGTTACCATGTAAAACAATCTACTGGTTTCTGCTGGACCAAACTTTATGTTGTAGACATGTTCTGAGAAAACGTACAAAGAAAGAATTGTGTAGTACTATGAAGTTCATGCAAATACTTTTCATGATCAATCATTGGTGACACTTCCGAATATTCGGATACCTGAGACCATCCAAACTTCTTAACCATCTAGACGAGCTTGAACAAGGTTTTGAACATAAATGATCAGTTTGGACAAGGAAGAAACCATGCAAAACCAATCTACCAGTTTCTGTTGGACTAAACTTTATGTGGTAGACATGTTCTGAGAAAACTTACAAAGAAAGAATTGTGTAGTACTATGAAGTTCATGCAAATACTTTTCACGATCAATCATTGGTGACACTTCCGAATATTCAAGTACTTGAGACCATCCAAACTTCTTAACCAGATAGACCAGCTTGGACAAGATTTTGAACATAAATGATCAGTTTGGACAATGAAGAAACCATGCAAAACCAATCTACCAGTTTCTGTTGGACCAAGCTTTATGTTGTGGACATGTTCTGAGAAAACTTACAAAGAAAGAATTGTGTAGTACTATGAAGTTCATGCAAATACTTTTCACGATCAATCATTGGTGACACTTCCGAATATTCGGATACTTGAGACCATCCAAACTTCTTAACCAGCTTGGACAAGATTTTGAACATAAATGATCAGTTTGGACAATGAAGAAACCATGCAAAACCAATCTACCAGTTTCTGTTGGACCAAACTTTATGTTGTAGACATGTTCTGAGAAAACATACGAAAAAAGATACTTTTCATGATCAATCATTAGTGGCTCGTTCGAATATTCGGACGAGTGATTATCCATCTAGACAAGCTGGGACCAGATAATAAGTAAAAATGATCCGTTGGGGCAAGATATAAACCTCACAAAACCCTCAAGTAGTTTAAGCTGGATTTTCAAGCAATGTTTTCTTTTCTCCTTTCACTCCTTCTCACCTTAATGTCTTTCCTGGTTTCTCCAGGTTTGAACACCAGCGTCCCTTCGCAGTACTTGTAATCTGATCCAGCGTTGGCGGTGCCATCTTCTGTACAGTAGTCGATGTAGAAAGTGCTCTCCCCCAGGCCTCCTCGGCACACCACAGGTATCATGACGGTGCCGCAGTTCTCCATGCACTGGACAGACGCCGTCTCGAAGGAGATGTGGCTACAGACGGCCAGATCGGTCTCCTCCAGAGGCTCGTTGCCGCCCACCACAACAGTGCGGCGAGAGTGATCCGCCGTGTGCTTCTTCAGCACATTACCGGCCCCGATCATCATGCGCGTGGCCTGGACACGATAAAAGGCACGGCTTTTCTGCTGATGAAGGAGGGCGTAGTAGTTGGCCAAGTCTACCAACTGATCCAGCTCCTTATCTGGATATTTCTGCTTCAGGTCTTTCAGGATACGAATCACCTGCCAAGCAACATTCAAAGGTCAAGAAGATATAGGCTGCAGTTCTGCCCAAGTCCAATTTCATTTCTGTCATGATATACTCTCCCTCATGCTGTTTCAAACCTGAAAATAGCTGTGGCTTTCAACGCTCAATGCGGGCATATGACTCAATCTGCCAAGTTTTACGTCAATGACACCAACCAAACAGAATTGGTTCTGACAAATTGTGATTCAAATGCAAATTAGATTTGAGACTTATAGCTGAGCTGAGGGAAAGAACTCAAATTTCAGCCTGTTCCTCACGTTTAGATATCACTATACTACAGAAGACATGGAATATAGCACGTCGCTTACAGTTATTTTTTACTTTTCTGGAGTTTCGCACGGACACTTTGACGATTCAAAAAGGTACATAAAGAGATCGTAAAACGAATTCATTTGAATTGGGTGGTTGAGACCAAATTTTCTGAAGAGACTTGACCGCTTTATATGATGAACAGATTTAATTTAGGCTTTTATACACATATCAGCGAATTTAAACAGAAACTCAACCGAACATGCTTGAGATGTGTTCATATGCACTCAGCTTGAGCATCAGTTTACCACATCTGATGTGCGAGTTGATGAATGTTTATATGTGAATAAAAGTCTAAAATTCAAACTGTTTATAATATAAAGTGATCGTCTCTTCAGACTATTATGGACTAGTGATTCCCAAACTGTGGTCCGCGGACCACTAGTGGTCCGTGGGGGTACTGCAGGTGGTCCGTGAAAAGGCAAAATGAAATTTAAATATTTTTTTACCTTAATTTTACCCTTTTAAAATAAAAAGTACAAATATGTGGGCCTATATTGATATAAAATTTAAATTAAATGGTCAAGTTATTGTGTGATTACTAAAATAGGCTAGTGGCGCTCGGCCATGACGTTCAAATTCAGTGCCGTTACAACCACAACATCGGAGGATAGCAACAGGTTGTCTGAAGAGAGGCAGAGGTAATGAAATGTTTATAAATGGAATGAATAAAGCCTGTTATTATTTTAAGTTCTTGATCTCGCATTTCTGAAAGTTTTGCAGATATGCTGTTAAGTGGACAAACAAGCCTACTTTTTGAGGACTTGTAAACTCTGAAGATTAATAATCCCCTAAACTCGCCAAAGGTTTTGAAATGTTAACTATATCCAAGTGTTTTTATTACTTTAAAATGTCATTGCTATGGAAATAAGCCTGTTGTTCAAATTAACCTGATTATGCCCTCGAGTGCTTGATTAAAGAAATTAATTAAATATGTGGCAGCCGTTGTGTGCAGTAAACTTTCTTTTTACAAGCCTGTTGTTCTGATCTGATGACACACCAGTAAGCGCTAGTAAGCCTATTAAGAGGTGTGGATTAATTCAGGTACATATTTTCTTATGTCTATTATGAGGTGGTCCACGAAAATTCTTGATTACACATAAAAAGTTTGAAAACCCCTGGACTAAACCACTCAAATCATATGGATTAGTTTTATGATCTGTTTATGAACTTTTTGAAACGTCAATTGGTGGTTGTGTAGCTGTCAATGGAGGGACAGAAAGCTCTCAGATTTGATAAAATAGATCTTCATTTGTGTTCTGAAGATGAATGAAAGTCTTACGGGATTGGAAAGACATGAGGGCGAGTAGTTACTGACAGACTTTTTACTATGGTTATGGGTTCCATGGTTATTGAAAAATTTTAAGAAGGGAATAAAACAATAATATTTCAGTGCTTTGGCTTTTACTCTGGAAACTTTGGTGTTTTCTCTCAAAACTTTTGTGTTTCCCCAGAGAAACATTTTAGTACAGTGTCTTGGATTGTCAGGATGAAAAACATGTCAACCAAGGTTACATTTAAAGTTCTGTGAGTGAGTATGAATGCACAAAAGTTTGTTTAAATGAGTGCATGTGTCTTTTCTCACTTCTTTACGGCTCTCGTCCAGCTCCTTGGCACCTTCCATGTAAACGGTAGTGCTGTTGGAGTTGGGTAGAGTTGCCATGGTGCCTGTTGTATTGCCGGTCCCATCTTGGTAATGTTCCTGTGTGCCGATCCCTATGGCTCCACCCCTCAGTGGAAACTTGCCGTCCATCATCATCTCCATCCCTTTGGGGGTCAACTCCCCCTCTGTCTCAACAACAACACCTGTTCTCTTGTCGGCACGGTAGCGTTTGGACATGTACTTGTAGAAAAGGAGGCGCCGGTCAGCGATCCACGCCAGGATTACACAAACGGGGAAATAGCAGAGAGTGACAAGAGCTTCCCATATCTACACACACACATCAATACAGCAGACACACAAGGTAAACAGACCACAGATTAGTGCGTTGGAGAGAAAAGACCACAGCAAACAAAAGGAAAAGCAAAGAAAAACAAACAGTCTGATATGAACCAAGCAAAGAGGCACTTCTAGCTACATTAAACAGAGACAAACAGCTCAGTACCTGCTCACTTCACCATTACAAATGACCCAATATGGTCTTGTTGTCTGAAGGACCAGTAGATAAAAAAACATTTATAATCATTTTGTGTGACTTATCACACAGTGTTTGTCACACACATAATGTACTATATACAGTATATATATATGTGTGTGTGTGTGGGTGTAAATCCCCAAAAAATATTTTTTTTATTTTTTATATTTTATAAAAAAATAATAATTTTATACATTTTTATTAATAAATAAAGAATTATATGAACAGTAAGATTAAATACATTTTCAGTAATTCTCAATATTCTCAATGGTGATTCTCATTAGATTCTCATTAGTGTAAATCCTCACTTTTCACATTTCAGTAATGAGAATGAGATACTTTTAGACATTTACTAAAGGGATTTGCAGTGAAGTTATCATAATTGTCATGAAATGTCACAATGCAAAATATCTTTAACGTTCTCTAAGACTTTGGCAATCGACTTTGTATTATATCCATAAATATGCACGTAGTATATGTTACTTCGCATGTAACGAAATTGATGTGTACATTTGGAAACTGAATTAAAGGATTAGTTCACTTTCGAAAAAACTTTTGCTGGTAAATTACTCACCCCCATGTCATCCAAGATGTCCATGTCTTTCTTTCCTCAGTCGAAAAGAAATTAAGGTTTTTGATGAAAGCATACCAGGATTTTTCTCCTTATAATGGACTTCAATGGGAACCAGGTCCAACCGAGGTCCAAAAGACAGTTAATAACAGTTTCAGATGCAGCTTCAAATGTCTTTAAACGACACCAGACGATGAATAAGGGTCTTATCATGCGAAACGATCGGTTATTTCAAAACTTATTCCAAAAATGTAACTTTTCTAAGGACAAATGCTAGCCTTGTAATATATTGTGAGGCGTGTTTGCAACGTCACGTAATACGTAATTACGTTCAAAAGGTCACGGGCGACGTAACCGTAAGTACAGAATCAAAATCGTCCGACGTCGTTGTTTTACCTTTTAATTCCTTTTTTGTAAACGCCGTTTGAGTTAGTTTGCACGTTCAACCTATGCGTTCAACTTGTAAACACTCTGACTCTGTACTTCTGGCTACGTCGCCCGTGACCTTTTGAACGTAATTACGTAATACGTGACGTTACAAACGCGCCTCACAGAATAGAGCAAGGCTAGCATTTGTCCTTAGAAAAGTTACATTTTTGGAATAAGTTTTGAAATAACCGATCGTTTCGCATGATAAGACCCTTATTCATCGTCTGATGTCGTTTAAAGACATTTGAAGCTGCATCTGAAACTGTTATAACTGTCGTTTGGACCTCGGTTGGACCTGGTTCCCATTGAAGTCCATTATATGGAGAAAAATCCTGGAATGTTTTCATCAAAAACCTTAATTTCTTTTCGACTGAGGAAAGAAAGACATGGACATCTTGGATGACATGGGGGTGAGTAAATTATCAGCAAAAGTTTTTTCAAAAGTGAACTAATCCTTTAAAACGTGCTGATTTTAGGGATGAAACATGACATACTGTAGACCTAATATAGTTTTCTGGGATTCACACAGACAAACACACAAGCACGCTACAATACCCTACAAACTCTATATTCTACTCACTAACCCTAAACCTACTATCACAACAACACATCCCAAATGTTCAAAAAACATAATTTAATGTCACTTATAACTTGTTTTCCTCATGGGGACCAAAAAAAAAGTCCTGTAAGGTAAAAATACTTCTGACACACGCGCACACACACCTCTACGACTCCAGGTGAGATGACAGCCAGGATCAGGTAGAGCCAGATGTAAGCGAAGATACTCCAGAACGCGGTGATGAAGAAGACTCTCAGATGTTTAATCTTCCTCACCTCGCCTTCAGGAATCACCCACACACAGATTCCAATGATCACAAACATATTAAAGGCAGCGCTGCCCACAATGGTGCCTGGACCCAGCTCACCGGACTTAAAACCATGACCACACACCTGAAACACACAAAATCACATGATCTTTAATGTATACAGTAGCAATGTGGAGCAGCAGTGTTTTGGAACAAATATATTTTGTGGGTTAGTTTAAGTTTTAGGGATTTGGTTATTTGCTTTAGTCATTTTTCTTAGTTTTTTATTAGTTATTGCATGCTAAAGACAATAGACACAAAACTGAATGACGATTATTCATGTTCTACAATGTTAAATTATGCAGCGTGTCCTCTGGTAATTTCATCTTGTAATGTAACTGTAATGCACTTTTCCAATTAGTTCCAAGTTAGTTCCAATTTCCAAGTTGTAAATTCTCACTTTCCAAGTTGAATGGAGCGCAGCATTTGGCTTATGCAAACATTTGAGCACATAAATGCTTCAATTAAATGACAGAATAGAGAAAACAGCAGATGAATTGCGTCACTTTTCATCTTCAACATCAGATTCAGAAGCATTCAATTGTCACATTCACTGAATATCCTTGAAAATGAAGCGAATGTCCTTGGGGAAGATTAAACAAGAAAAAAGATTGAAATAAAAAGCACGCAGTTGTTGGTTATCTATGCTGTGGCTCTATCACTGATAAATATATATATATATATCTAAACCAGGCGGTGAACCTTTGGGATCAGCCTGTGACAAACAGATAAATCAAGCAGTGCCTCCTTTCCGGCTGAGCTTGCAATGAGATTTCACACTTCTGATGCCAAAATCTGCCTGTCTGCATCTCCTTCGCTGCAATGTTTCAAGATGAACGATGCATTGTGATCACGTTGTTTAGATGCGTTTGTCGTACAACAACAATCCCGCTGTGTACATGAAGCCCTTGAGTGAAACACAGAGGCCTGACGGATGTCCTAACACATTAGATCAAGAGATTCAGAGTGACAAACAACGTGGAGAGACTAATGTGTGGCAATAAAGCTGAGCTGGAGCTCCACTGACGTGCTAAATGTTGGCCAACTCAGCGGTGAGCGTCTCCCGCAGGCACAGCCACACAGAACGGAGAAAGCGTTTGATTCCATGCGGTGGACGACGAGGAGCGAACCAGGAGCGCCTCATTAATAAACATGATCCGGACCCTCATTAGCGAGAGCAGCGATCAGCATGCATCTCTCCAACCATCTACATCTTAAAGGGCCAAGAAGCTGTTTGACCCATCAAAAAGCTCTGAAAAACACATTTTCTGTCCTGTTTTAGCAAACATACTACTGAAACAGAAAGTTCCCTGCTGAAAAATAACACAAAAAAGTGTGCAAAAGCTGGGAGACTAGCTAAGACTAGCACAAACCAGCTTGGACTGATTTAATGGACCAATATCCTATACGTCACATCAGTGTTATTTTTGTATCATTGATACTGTTATAGTTTTTGTTGAATTAGACTGTATTTGTATATTTTCATTTTAGTTAAAGGCAGGGTAGGTAAGTTTGAGAAATTTTGAAAGTATCCAAACTCCCACCCCCTTCCTTCTGGGCTCCTTTCAAAGCCACGCCCCCAAAACACATGAACGCGTGATGCCGACCGCTCAGCTTTCCCACCCAGCCTTTACAGTCTAAGAATTTTATTGCGCTTTCGTCATTTTTATGCCTACAGGTACGTTCACGTCATGTTGTAAATACCGTAATTACGAGATTTCAACTTGTAAAAAGCGTTCACGTCCACCTAGAGTTCGTAATTACAATCTGTAAGCTGTGAATTTTCCGAGAGCTCCCACTTGAACCACATGAACGCGTTGACGTCTCGAAATTATGGTAATTGAGATATGACATGAATGGCAAGTTTTAGTTTTAGGTTTACACAACAAAAATGGAAAAGCATTTTTCGCGTACAGATGACAGTTTCAATTCATGTGGAGCAGCAAAAACGACTACAAATGTTGTATTCTGCTGCCAGGCCAGTAGTTGGCGATGTTACGTTGTAAAGAAACACTACGCCCCGTAGACTGAATACGTAACGCATGCGCATGACATCACCGGTTTCAAAAATTCACATTTTTGTTGATTTTCACAAAGACAATAACGGTAAAACTAGCACTAAAAGTTTGCGTTTCCCGCCTAAAAAATTAAAACGCGTAAAAAGTTTTACGTTTTTAGTTGAAATCGGTGTGTAAATGGCCCCTTGGTTATTTAAGTACATAAACTTGAACAAAAACTGAATAAAAATAAGAAATGTTGCCTTGTCAACTAGCTGAAGTAATAAATTTAATATTAAGAATAAAATTAATAAAAATAAATAAAATAATATTAATACATTTAAAGTTTTCAAAATTGTATTTTAGTTAATGTTTTTATGGGTTTAATTTTAGTTTTAGTTAACAATAATAACCCTGCATCAAAGCCTGGGAAAATTCATGACTAATGTAAGTACTTTTGAAAGTTTCTTGAATTCTACAAACATTTTTATGTGCCCCTGCCAGCAAGACGAGCCATAAAATTTACATAAATTTTCCCAGAAAGAAAGAAAGAAAGACTGTAAATTTTAAAATGCTAAAAGTTCTCACAGCTAAAAGGCTTAGCTAAAGCCACAAAACATATTTTATTTTCATGAATCTATAAATTATGGATGGATCACGCTTCAATGCAAACAGAATGAACAGACAAAGCACCACCTAAATTATGGGTGGTAATGTTGCTAATGAAATAGTAAAACCCCAGGCTACACTAATGAGGGTTTAGCCATCTGCTGTGAATGCAATTAGTAGTTGAGCAGTTAATTGTCAGAAAAAAAGGCTTCCTAACTAGTACATTTGTCATTTTAAAGGCTCACCCACCTCAATGACTGACAGGAGAATTTCAGGGGCGGAGGATCCAAGAGCCATCAGGGTCAAATTGGACACAGTCTCGTTCCAGATTCTCACAGTGGCCACCGACGTTTCTCCGCTGGGCATGGTGATGGTCACTTCTTTCTCCTGGGTGAGCAGAAGGGAACATGTTAAGGATACAGACAGCTAGTCATTATTGCTAACTAAAGCCTGACAGGTTCTTGCAGCAGGGTCGTGCACCAGTTAGAACGTAATTGAATTTGAATTGAGGAAGCAAACAGAATGGAATTGAGGGAGGAATGGAATTTTCAAAATAAAAAAAAATAATAATAATTTAATATTTTAATAATATTAAATTAATAAATTAATAAATTAATATCAAAATATGCAGAAAATATTTTATATAAATATATAAAAATATATACACTGCCGTTATTTTTATGTGTTTTGAATTTTTCATGTTTTTAAAAGAAGTCTCCTCTGCACACCAAGGCTGGATTTATTTGATTACAAATACAAGAACAAACCATAAAATTGTGAAATATTATTACAATTTTAAATAACTGTTTTCTATTTTAATATATTATAAAATGTAATTTATTCCTGTGATCAAAGCTGAATTTTCGGCATCATTACTCCAGTCTTCAGTGTCACATCCTTCAGAAATCATTCTAAAATGATGCTTTGCTGCTCAAGAAACATTTATTATTATTAAAAAAATCAGGGTGAAAAAACGCCAAACTGTATAAAAACCCTGAGGCACAGACAACCATGACACTCACACTCCATAACTCAATAATTCGCCGATATGCTGTCAGAGATCATAATTCTGGTATGGTGTTTTTATTGTTTGTACTTTCGTTGCACCTGAAGTCAGTCAAACTGTCATGGTTCAGTTGTTTCTTTTGAGATAGAAGAGTTCAAGTCTAGTTTTTCTGCCTGGTTTAGCCTGGAGGCTCTAAAGTGTGTGCGGCACAGCTTCTGATCCAGTGCAAATGTAGAGCTGGAAACACTTCCCTTATTAATTTGCAACTTGCATTACAGGAATTATGACTACCCTTCTGAATGATGCATCTAAGGCAGTCTGTGCTTGAATGGTGAGACACTCAAGTCAAGAACGGACTCAGACTGCTGATGCTGGTCAACAACACAATGATTTTTATTTTTTTTTTCTTTATGATTCAGTGCTAAAACATGCTAAAAGAAGGGAGAGATGTGTTAAAACATGCTATCAACATGGTAAAACAGGCTAGCAACGTGCTAATTCAAGCTAGCAACATATTAAACATCTCACATTCAGTTACAGTCATGTTAAGGATACAGACAGCTAGTCATTATTGCTAACTAAAGCCTGACAGGTTCTTGCAGCAGGGTCGTGCACCAGTTAGAACGTAATTGAATTTGAATTGAGAAAGCAAACAGAATGGAAATGGAATGGAATTTTCAAAATGAAAAATAAATAAATAAATAAATAAATAAATAAATACAATAAATAAAATAAAATAATAATTAATTTAATATTTAAACTATCAAAATATACAGAAAATATTTTATATAAATATATACACTGCCATTCAAACATTTTGGGGATTGTACGAATTTTTTATGTTTTTAAAAGAAGTCTGCACACCAAGGCTGGATGCTAATTTATACTGGTGATGTGTTAAAACATGTTATCTACGTGCTAATTCATGCTAGCAATATAGTCAAACATGTTAGTAACATGCAAATTCATACTAGCCATGTGGTCAAACTTAGTAACATGCTAATTCATACTAACAATGTGTTAAAACATGTTATCAACATGCTTATTCATGTTAGCAATGTAGACAAACATGGCAATAACATCCTAATTCATACTGGCAATGTGTTAAAACATGTTATCAACATGCTTAGGCCTATTCATGTTAGCAATGTAGTCAAACATGGCAGTAACATGCTAAATCATACTAGCAATGTGGTAAAACATTTTTTCAACATGCTAATTCGTGTTAGCAATGTGATAAAACATTGTAGTAACATGCCGATTCATTCTAGCAAAGTGTTAAAACATGTTATTGACACGCAAATTTAAGTTAGCAATGTGGTAAAACATGGTAGCAGCATGCTAATTCATATTAGCAATGTGTTAAACCATGTTATCAACAGGCTAATTTATGTTAGCAACATGCTAAAAGAATATGCTTCAGATTTCTGCACTTTCATGCAAACACCTGAAATTGTATATTTTGGCTTTTTCAAAATGTGTAAACAATAAGCAGGCTCAGAGATGTTTAAAAATGTTAGCTCTTCCTTGGCTATTACACCTTTCTTGGCTAACATCTCCAGACTATTTATGGTGGTCTCTGGTGCTGTTTTCACACTTGCATTTCCCATGACCCTGTACACAAGGATGTTTTGACAAGGGTGTATGAGATTCTTTCTAGGGAACGCTTTGATTAATGAGGTAGACTCAGAGCTGTTGGCTTTGATTTGGCAAAGGAGAGAAACTCACCAGAGAGAAAGAAAGCGACTGACTCCTTACAAAAGAACTCTGTTAGCCAATTTAGATTAACATTGTGATGCTATTGTGTTTGTACCGGTGTTATTTTATCAGTGTAATACTAATTCTTGAAAAAAAAACTTGATCGGATTGTGTTAATTCATGCTATCAATATGGTAGTCATGCTAGAAAAGTTTTAAAACGTGTTAACAACATGATGATAATATGTAAATCATGTTAGTAACATGCTGAAACATGCTAGCAATGTGTTAAATCATGTTAACAACATATTAAAACATGTTAGCAATATGTTAAATGTTAAGAAAGCTAGCTACCATGTAAGAAAGCTAACATGTTAAAAACATGTTAAAACATGCTAATTCATGTAAGCTATGTGCAAAAACATGTTATCAACATGGAAAAAATGTTAACAGCGTGCGACAACATTCTAGAAACATGTTAATTCATGCAATGTGTTAAAACAAGGTAGCAACATGCTTATTCATGTTAGCAATGTGCAAAAACGTTATCAACATGGTAAAAAATGCTATCAATGAGGCAATTAATGCTAACAACGTGCAACGACATACTAGAAACATATGCTAACCCAGACAGCAAACTGACATTGAATCAATGTGGAAACGAAGTCTCTCATGACATTGAAACAACGTTGATTTTGCTCATCGAATTAACAGTGAACTAACGTCAGACGCGGCATTCTTCAAAGCTAAATGAAAATCGAAAATTGGTTTGCTTTCATAACGTTGAAACAACGTGTTGATTTCAAGTTGATTTTCCGTTAGTTTTGAAAGAATGACGCGTCTGACGTTGGTTCAACGTTAATTCGATGAGCAAAACAATGTCAGATCAACGTTGTTTCGATGTCATGTTTCCACGTTGATTCAATGTCAGTTTGCTATCTGGGAATTCATGCTATCATTGAGCTAAAGCATGCTAGCAACACTAATTCATGTTAGCAATGTGCTAAAACATGCTAATTCATGCTAACAATATATTAAAAGTTAGTTAACAAACTGTAAAATAAAACTAGATACATGCAAATCGCATGCTAAAAGGAAGCTATAAACATTTAAAACAGAGCTTTGTAAAGACAATAAACATTTGTCAGCAAACCTTACTATAAATAAACTATAGTGTTTATTAATGTTTTGAATTAGCTTTTATTTTTATGTTTACAGTTTAAGTATAACTTCAAGTAATTTCGTATTTCTATATAAGTTTTAGTTTTTTAATTTTTCTACAAAGCTTTAATTTATTTTTATTTCAGTTTTGGATATATTTGTGACTCTATCCTGATGGTGCAGCATTTCTCAGTTTTGTCAGTTTTATTGCATTCCAGATTTTTTAATGATTTGTTTTAGGATGCTAGAGCTGTGTGAAAAAAAAAATACATCTGGCTATTTCAAATTCAGCAGAATGTATTTAAAACTAGAGATTTTGATTTATAAGTTATCTTCTGGCTGAGAAACTGAAACAAAAGAATTGAAGGAAATCTAGCCTCCTTTATAAAAGCATTTTGCTAATTTTCCTCTTCCGACAGGTTTATGGCGCATGAGTCAGGAGGTGATAAGAGTAGGCGATCTACCCTTGACAAGTGTTGACGAGTCAGCCGTTTTAGCAGAAAGAAAGAAAAAAACATCAAGCACACTGCAAGCATTTGCATCCCATTAAATGTTCAGAGGCTGGAGAAACAGTCACGATTGTTTTTATTTTAATAACCCCAATTACTAGCTAAAGTCAAGCTCAGGTGAAGGCTATGCTTTTAAAAGAAGAGTTCACCCCAAAATGAACATTTTGTTATTGTTTACCCGGACTCATGTCATTCATAACCAAACATATGCAGTTATTTCCATAAAACAAAAAGGAAAACTTTTTTATTAGTCTTCACTTTGCTACATTTTATATGACAAAAAAAACCCCATAAGAATAAGAAAAAAAAATACTTCATGACCCATGCACTGAATTTCAAGTTTCTGCAGAGATAGTCATACAATCACTTTATTCAATAAATTCATCTAATTATATGGTTTTCGCAAGTTTCATAACCAAATGCACCAGTTTGACATTCAGTACAACCTGTGTCTTTTATTTATTTAAGCAAATGCAGAACAATAAGTTCATGCGTTCATGACATCAAGGCTAGATTATTGTAATGCTCTACTGGGTGGTTGCCCTGCACGCTTAATAAACAAACTTCAGCAAGTCCAAAACGCAGCTGCTCGAGTTCTTACCAGAACCAGGAAGTATGACCATATTAGCCCGGTTCTGTCAACCCTGCATTGGCTGCCTATTAAACATCGTATAAATTTTAAAATATTGCTGATTACATATACTGTAAAGCACTAAATGGTTTGGCTCCGCAGTACTTGAGCGAGCTCTTAACGCATTATAGTCCTTCACGTCTATTGCCATCTCAAAACTCCGGCCAGTTGATAGAATTTCAAAATCGACTGCTGGTCAAGTCACATTTATTTATTTATTTTTATATAGCGTTGGTGGTAGATCCTTTTCCTGTTTAGCACCAAAACTCTGGAACAATCATATTGTCCGGGAAGCAGACACAATCTGTCAGTTCAAATCTAGACTAAAAACGTGCGTGACATAATAAACCAATGTGGTTGAACGACCACTTTGCGACAATACGGTTTTGGGAAACAGTCGTGACTGGCTAGTTGATTTCTTCAACGATGCCTCGTACTATGGTTGTGAAGCAGCGAGTTACATCATTGTACGGGAAACGCACCCGAGACTGATTATCTAACAATTAGAGAACAGAGAACAACAAATATATTACTACCCAGTCTGTCAGTAATGCTCGGTTTAGTTCCTGTCTCTATGAAGCCCCTCCTTCTAAAAAAAAGCACACTGTGCTCTGATTGGTCGACTGGATCAGCGTGTTGTGACACTGATATAGCAGCGCAGTCTCATCCCAAGACGTCATACAACTGACGCTTTTGACCATACGTCAACATCCGCCGTTTTAGGGTACCCCAGTTTGGTTTGAAATGTGCTGGGGACAGAGACGTATTCGGAAGGGCATTTTCAAAAGTGCTGGGTACAATGACGCATTCATTCTTTTTTTCTCTTTCGAGTAGGTCATGTTTCGAAAGACGATGTCCTGTAGCTTCCTGTTGTACATAAATAAAAATGAGCACAATGTCCAAGTATAGTGAGTATATATAGAGTATATACGCCCTTTGTTGTAAATGTACAGTGATGGTCCAGAGGTAGAATTTTTGCCTAGCGTGTCGGGACTCGGGAGGTTCGAGGTTCTAATCCGCACTCGCATAGTTTTTTTCCCCCTCATCAAAACCAATAATGTGTATCAGTGGTTGAATTGATATAATGTTTATCAGTGGTATGTTTTGATGGGGGAAAAAATATACGAGAGTGGATTAGAACCCTAGGACACTTTGTGTGCATTTTAATTTGTGATTTTCATCTCTGCAACGGACTGAAGCGCATTTCCGAGAGAAGACAACAGATTTCAGTGCTAGATCGCCTGTTATTTAAAGGGATACTCCACTTTTTTGGGAAATAGGCTTATTTTACAACTCCCCCAGAGTTAAACAGTTGAGTTTTACCATTTTCGAATGTATTCAGCCGATTTTCTGATATTTAGAAGAATATCAGTAAACAGACAATTTCTGGTCTTATTGACTTCCGTAGTATATATTTTTTCCTACTATGGAAGTCAATGAGACCAGAAACTGTCTGTTTACTGATATTACTCTAAATATCAGAAAATCGTCTGAATGGATTCAAAAACGGTAAAACTCAACTGTTTAACTCTGGGGGAGTTGTAAAATGAGCCTTTTTCCAAAAAAAGTGGAGTATCCCTTTAACAAGTAAATGAAACGAATGCTGTTAACTGAAGATGTTTTATTTGTATTGATACATCTGTGCCGTGAGATGTTTCAAAAGTGGTGGGGACAAAATTGAGCGACGAGAATACTTTTTGTGCGAAAAAGCAAACAAAAATAACGACTTTATTCGACTATTCCTTTTCTTCCTTGGCCTGAAACGAGACTTCCATACGATTTCCACGACACATGTGCGAGAACTGAACCGAATTAGTGTAAGGAGATCGCAATTCTTGCGCATGCGTCGTGGAAATCTAAGGAAGTCTCGTTTCAGGCCAACAAGGAAGAAAAGGAATAGTCGAATAAAGTTGTTATTTTTGTTTGTTTTTTCGCACAAAAAGTATTCTCGTCGCTTGATAAACTAATAGTTGAGCCACGGTAGTCACATGGAATATTTAAACATTTTCTTCATTGACTTTCTGGGCCGTCAAGAGCCAGTCCTGGAAGTCTATGTGGTAGTGATACAGCTCTCAAATTTAATCAAAAATATCTTCATTTGTGTTCCGAAGACGAACGAAGGTCTTACGGGGTTGGTACAGCATGGGGGTGAGTAATTAATGACTTAATTTTCATTTTGGGGTGTACTAACCCTTTAACTAGAGGCATAAATGCAACTCCTAAAGTGAGGCCTAAGAACTGTTTACCTTGGAAAATGATCATAATATAATCAATCATAATTTTCCTCCTTATGATAGACAGGAACGATTTTGCAATTATTGCAAGATAGTGAAGATTATGCAGATTGAGAACTCACCTGTGACGTGATGACCTCGATGGATGCCATGAATCTGTCGGCGATGATGGACACTCCCAGAAACATGTACATGAGCGCGGCGAAATAGATGACGGCCCGCATGATCTGCTCTCCGAGACTGGGATTGACAGGCATCCAAACGGGAAGGACGATTCCAGGCTTGCACTCCACAGGTTCGCTGCACTTTTTTTTAGGAACGGGTCCATCGCTGTCATCGCTCACGTTATAGGAGAGCTCTGAGGGAAACGCTGAAGGAGCGAAGGAGGGCGGGAGAGACGGTTCTTCGCGCTGGGATTCGGGAGAACAGGATGGGGGCAGAGAAAGGACGAGGACGAGACTCAGAAAGAGGATGGAAGAGCGTCGAGAGGAAAACGGTGCCATGATCTCACCCCTCAAAAGGCTTCTGGAGTTCAGAGCAGAAGAAATAAAGGAGGTGATTGAACACAGAGAGGAACCAGCCCGCCGGGGGACCTGGGGAGAGAAGAGGGAAGAAAGGAGACTTTAATGGCAAGAAAAGCAACCGAAAAGGCGTCTGTAAATGTCATCATCAGAAAAACAAATCTCACGCAGCTTTAGAGGAACAGCACTCGCAATCCAACATAAATATCTCCAGGCTGCAGCTTTGTGCGGAGCAGCTCCTGCTCGCTTTTATAGCGGAGTAAATCAAGATGATTATAAAAAAAAAATATGTGAGATGCAGCAAAAACAGACCTTGGTAGAAGAATACACAGCGTAGGCAATGAAAATCATCGCTTTCATTAGGTGAAACACGGTTACAAGGACACCAACAAAAACATACAGCTCATGATAAAGCAAGCTTAAGGGATGGACAACTCAAATAAGAATGAAATAACAGTGTTAATGCTGCCAGGACAGAGGATTACGTCCTCCGCAGGTCTCAGAGAGGGACATCTGTGTGTGCAAGGCTTTTATTAACTCAGATGCTCAAAAACCTTCCTGTACTTTCACAGAGTCAAGCAAACACACACACACACACGCAACCAAAGGAAAGTTTTAATGCTCAGATGTTACTCTTTCATATAGCTTTAGAGACTGGGCCAGATTTACTAACAGCTTGCGTCAGCACAAACCCTCTATTGCTGTTAGAAAACTAACGTCAGGATTTCATGCTGTGAAAAATTACATAGCGCTGGAAAGGCGAGGACAGGGTTATTTTTGCGACTGAATTGCATAGGAGTTTCCCTTTCAGACGCAACATCTGGGAGGAGAGTGTTTAAATGAAGCATGCATGGTGATTTGGACGCTATTATTTAAAACTGTAAATAAAAACGTCTAAGTTGCGCTGCTTTTGGTAGATTGTGTTGGTCATTATGGAAATGATCCGGCTGCGTCTGTTCTCTAACTTGCGTGTCGTCAGTTTATCCGGAGCTTTCCTTTCCCATTGGCACTTTATGGGATTGTCCTGTTTAGGGTTTATTTAGACGCTAATAAAATCTGGCCCTAGAAATGGAGTAGTCAAGTTATGTTTCATTGCAAGAATCAACTTCTTCTCAAATATCTTAGGAGGAGAAAAAAATAATAAAAAGATTGTTGATGAATATGAAGAGAATAGAGCTATTAAATCAATGTGGATATCCAGCAAGTGAAATTGAAATATTGAGAAATAAGATATTTTTTGTACTTGTGTTATTATAATATTTATGAATAGATCGTATTAGCTTTTTATGTTTTCAGATTTTATTTAAATTTAGTTTCAGTTTAAATTTTTGAAAGGTTTGTGATTTTGTAAGTTTCTATATTAATATTTCAATAAAAAATTCATATACAATAGCTATAATTTATTTACATTTTTTCAATAACAGTTTTGGTAGATTTTATAATTTTGCATAAAATTATTTTAGTTAGTTGTCAAGGCAAAATTTTCATTTACATGCAAGTTTTTTAAGTTTAAGAATTCCATCTAAAATGTATATTTTATTTTATTTCAGCTTTATTTGAATTAGCACAGTTCCCTTTCGTCCTGGGAAGTGGGAACTCCGACGTGTCGAGGGTTACATACGTAACCGAGACGTTTTTTCAAAATAATTTTAGTCATAGTGATAACGACACTGTTAAGGAACTTCAAGAGAAACACATCATGGGCCGTATTTTAATGATCTGAAACACAAGTATCAAGCGCAAGTAACTTTATGGACGGGTCTTGGGAGCTGTTGCTATTTTCCCGGCAGGATAAATGACTCTTGAGCTCGACACAAGTTTAAAAGGGGTTGGTCTCAAATAGATTCATTATTCATAGGTGTGGTTTGGGCGTAACGTGAAATAAACCAATCAGAGCGTCATCCAACATGCCCTTTAAGAACAGGTGCGCATGTTGCATGGAGGATTGATATTATTATGGCGGATTTACCAGGCGCGCGCCAGGAGCGTTCACAGCCGAGGAGACCGACGATCTTGTCAGGGCAGTGAAAGACAGAGAAGTGATGTTGTATGGGGACGAGAGAAACCCTCCCAAATCAGCGTTGGTTAAACATTATATATATACTGTATATATGTGTCTTTCCACTATTGGACAAACAGGTCTGATCCGTCATTACTACAATTAGCCTGAAAAATTTGGGTAAATGTGTAAGTTAGATTTAGGCCGACATTTATTTTTCCATCTTCATGGAAGAATGGAGGTTGGAGCAGGCTTCACTCAATGGTTACACTTCAATTTATTTTAAGAGTGCTGGCCTAATAATTAGGGGTTTCATCAACTAGTTGACTAGTCGACTGTCACAACCACTAGTTGGCGCTGTTGGCCTTAGTCGACTAGTTGGAAACAAAATGATGACATATATATAGATATATTTTTTTGTTAACTATCCCTTTAAATACAAGCGGCAGTACTATATACTATAAGCACTATAAGGCGCACCTTCAATGACCTATTTTAGTACATTTTTCAAACGTTTGACTGGGTTTGCATTATGCATCCACTAGATGTGCTAAAGGGAATGCAGCGAGTGCGCGGCGTCGGAGGTGAGGCGTTTATTTAGTAAGCGTGAGCGCGCTGGGGCGGGCACGTAACTTACATTCGCAGCCTGCTGACAGCAGTGTCTGTTCGTGTGTGTGTTAGAGAGAGCGCTCGTGAGCGTGAGACACACATAACCTGATTTATACGAGGTTGAACTGGCCGTGTGACAAAGCGGGCATAAGATGGACACGAGCGCGAGCAATTGATCCATATATAATGCGCTCCGGATTATAAGGCTTGAGAAAAGGCCGGATTGAGAAAATTAAAGGCTTTTAAATGCGCTTTATAGTGCGGAAAATACGAGTACTATACTCTCGCTTTTAGACCAGCACGCGACGTGTTTAATATAGACGCATATTAGCCTACACCAGATTTTCTCTCAAATGTTTGCTTTCACTTTAGACATAGCCAATTCTGTTTATGTAAACATTGTGTGTATTTAATGCTTAACCGGCAAGGCTTATGCAAACAATTAACTTTTAACCTATTCCTTAACGTGTGATGTGTAGGCTACGTCGCGTTGTACAGTTGAGAGGCGCCAGAACTGATAGAATGCACTGTAACACGATACTACTACTACCATATTTCTTCAAAAGCAGATCGTGGAGACATTTACTATTCGTGATGTCGCACACCCCTAGAATAAACCATTTAACGACTAGTCGACTAGTCGTCGACTGTTATGCAAAACTAGTCGACTAGCAAAAATCAGTAGTTGTGAAACCCCTACTAATAGAGTACATATATGGAAGAAAGAGGCCGCACTTTGCATAGACAGTTTATTTTACACAAACGTTTGTGTAAAATAAACTGTCTATGTAAAGTGCAGCCTCTTTCTTCCATTTATCCATCTTCATGGACACCACAATGATTTCCCTCATGTGTTAATATTTTTCCTTGTTATAATGTATGATTTGCAAAAATAAAAACGGCTGAATCTGTGTTGATGAGAGAATCAAAGTGTATGCTCGTTGTGCACCCGCTACATTATAGCCAAGCAATGCGCGATTAAAAAAGCATTAAGAACAACGCGCCATGACTTTAGACTAGGTTTTTTTCTGGTCAGTGGCGCAATTGTTTTCTGAAACTGCAAAATAGCACTAGGGAATGTTTGCGCCGACACACGCGATCCACCCAGGGAGCGTAAGTTCATTTCCTAGTTTACCGACGTGCGTCAAGCCCACTTTGCGCGGATGCAAAATAGGAATGATACATGAGTCAGTGTATAAAGTCATTTGCGCCGGGTGCAAGATAGGGCCCCAAGTGAGCTGAGCTGTTAAAGGGCAAACTTTGAGCAGTTTGATGTGGTATCGTGATACACATGAGCACCATTCAAGAGCTCTTCCTAAACTCTAGAGGAGACGCATGTGAGATCATTGGGTGCTTTTCCCAGGAAAAACATCTGAGAAGCAGAACACTCCCTATGTAATCTAATTGTTGTCTAGGAGAAACATTTTAGACATTAGAGATTTCATTAGTGATTTTTTCTTTCCAACACACACACACACAGACAGACACACACATGCTGATTTATAACACAACAGTGAGTGCAAGCGTGCACGGCTCTTTCTCTCTTTAAATGTAATTTTACAGAACAGATATTGAGATTTTTCTAAATTCAGAGCACATTTTCCATACTCACTCACCCTCGTTTTTCTTTCTATTGTCTCTTTCTAAATGGCCTTATTCCATCACAGAGTAGCTCTGTGTCCAAAACAAAGTTTGTCTCCCTTGTCTCAGTCAGAATACTAAACAGCGAGACAGAGCCGCATTGTGCTCGTGTTTCACGCAGTGATGGGTTGCATGGAGGATAGTGGGTTGCCCCCTCATTAACACAGCATCTCTCTCTCTCTTGACGTAACAGTGTTCGTATGACTGCCGGCAAAGACTGAGTCATAATACAGCGTGAGCTAAAATAACCTGGATGCAGAAACTGTCTTTGTCTCTGCCGTAAAACCACCTCAGGGAGAGAACCGGCACTGAACTCATGTTTCTTTTAAAACGGCATATTAAAGGCGGTACAAAACAGGCTGCTTTGGATATCACGAGAGACTGTGAGGAGATCGTGCACGCTGCTTATGGGATGATGGAATGAGAGAAACAGAAAAACTGATCAAACTATTTCAAACTCCGAACTGAGCCGCAGGACGGGAGACGTAAAAAGGCACATTAAAACTAGCCATCCATCCCAAAAGTATGAGCAGCAGTAATAATGATGCTTGCCTAAGCAAACAATAAAAACTGATGTCTGAAGGATCTTCATTGGCATCTTTGGAACCTTAAACAATCCATTGCACATAAAGTTATTTATAGCATGAGCTTAAAGGTTGATGATGTGGAACTAGAAAGGGTAAATGAAAACAAATTTCTTGGAATAATATTAGACCACAAACTATCCTGGAAACCTCACGTCGCTCATGTTCAATCAAAACGGTCTAAAACAATAGCTATATTACATAAAACCAAGTACTTACTAAATATGCCTTCTTTGTAT